AACAACACCATACGCAAGCTCAGAGGCGTCGGCAAAACAATGAATTCGCGCAGATGATGGTCCGAACCCTGGTTTCAAACACTTTGGTATTCTCAAGTGGTCTAACCCTTTTATATGTCTACACCAAATATTCCACTTTGCTTGACAATCTATGGGTAACTCGACATCCCAGTCTAGTTTCCGACGACAAGTATCTTGTAAGATCACTTTAGCTGGTAATATTATTGGGGCTACAACCCCAATTGGATCAAAGATAGATGCTACGTACGATAAAATATTTCTTCTGGTTGGTTTTCCGTGAAATTCATGAACTTTGAAACTTAATTCGTCTGTTCGGACGTTCCACTCTATTCCCAGAGTTCGTTTACTTGTCTCATTGGACTCGTAGACAATAATGTTACCTTCAACATGGTCTTCTTCTGGAATGAACTCCAACACTTCAACGCTATTATTAGTCCATTTAGTTAAGTTAAATCCTCCCAAACTTAGGAGTCTTTTAAAATGTGAATATGTCTGTTTGGCTTCTTCTATAGTATGCACACTTATCAATAAATCATCCACATAGAACTGTTCTTTAGCTGCTTGCGTAAAAGCCCTGGGAAATTTATCTTGGTTATCAGAAATCGTTTTTTCCAAAGCAAACGTGGTGCAACATGGCAATGAAGTTGCCCCGAACAGGTGGACCTTCATTCTACAAATCTCAGGTTTCTTTTCTAAGTCTCCACCTGGCCACCACAAATATCTAAGAACATCCCGATCATGCGGCGGGACTATTACTTGATGGAACATGGCTTCAATATCCGCCGTAAGACCTACTGGTCGTTGCCGGAACCTGGTGAAAACGTCTACTAGGTTATTGACTAAATCAGGCCTAGAATAAAGGTTCTTGTTCAAAGACGTCCCAGCATACTGAGCTGCACAATCGAACAATATTCTTAACTTGTTAGGTTTCTTGGGGTGGAAGACTGGATGATGAGGAAGATACTAAATTCGTCCATCAGAGTGGTTATCGTGTACCTTTTCAGCGTAATCTCGTTCTACCTACCGAGTCATGGAGTCTACATAGTCTTGGGACAACTTATCCCGAATAAGTCGACCTTTCAAACAACTAAGTCTACGTTCTGCTAATTCCCTGTTATTAGGTAACTTGTGTTTGTGCCTCCAAGGCAGAGCTATTTGATAGTGCCCGTTTAACCTTTGTACTGAATTTGATATAGTACTGAGTGCTATTCGATCTTCTACAGACATCGATATAGTACGACTAAATGGATCTTTGAATTCAGCTGAGTACAACTGTTCAAACTTATCCTCTGATTCCTCTTTAGCTGAGAGGTGATTGATTACACGATTGCTTTTACAGGGTTCCACATAGGAACAGAACAGCGTCCAACCTAACAGAATCTTCACGGCGGATGGTTCACTCAGCTTTCCAGTTCTTATCTCTTTCATTTCGTATGCACTCGGTGCGTTGCACCCGATAAACAGTTTGGCGTTCTCATCCTCTGCTCTCAGGAAACTTATATCTTTTAAATGAAACCAGGGTGTCATTTGAGATGTCGTTGGTACCGTCCTGCGCAACATAGGTAATCTCTCGACTGTCCATGCACTTGGGATTCTAAGTGATGAAGACGAATCTAAGGAGGAAACCTATACTTGGACCTCTTTACACTGATATATGGACTAGTTATCCAACGTTTTGAATAAAATCGTCTTGAACTCTCCTTCTAAACCCAACCTTCTAGCTAGATCTCCTGTAATAAGCGAAGCATCCGACCCACTATCTAGGAAAGCGCAAGTCTGTACTAACTTTTCTCCATTTCTTACCAATACAGGCACTATTGCGAATGCCACTTGGTTCTGTACACACTCAACGCTTTTCTCCGTATATAGTTGGGTATTAATGTGCGCATTATTGCTATTATCTCCTTGCTCTTTCCGCTTCCTATTTAACAACGTATGATGCCTCCAGCCACATCCTTCGATGGCACATGACCTCGGTGCTCGACAGTTTCTTGCTATGTGATTCGCTTTTAGGCAGATACTACACAACTTCTTCTTTGATACAAATTCTATCCTTTCATTAACATTCTTGTCTCCAAACCATTCACATTGATCCAAGGGGTGGTTTCCAGTACATAATAAACATGACAACCCAAGAACCCTTGGTCTCACATATGGGGTAACATCATACTCACTTGTGTTAGCGAACGACACTCTCGCTTTATATCCTGAATCAAGGTGTCTTCTAGTATCGGCAACAGATTGTCTTTGGTTGCGATTAGAAGGGTCACTGGTGACAAGTAATCTATATCTAGTATTAGCAATGTCTGACTGCTCTTTCACAAATTCGCAGAAGTCCTTGAATGAAGGTTATCTACCCGTCTTCAGAATTCTACACACAACTTTAACCCATTCTCTTCGCAAGTGTAGCGGGAGTTTTAAGAACATGCATTCGATAGTTTTTGTAGAGTTAAGACTGGACACATAGTTCATTTGCGTGAGTGTTAGCTCACAAATATGCATCTCATGAGATAGCCTTCTTGAATTATCTGGATCAGTCCCTTTAATGGCAGGAATGCTCAACATCTTATCAATAAATGCATGTGCTACTATATGCTTCTGACCAAACGCTTCCTCGGGAAGTTCTAGGGCTTTACGATAGCCTTCTTGCGGCTCGAGGAATGCGCAAAGAACAATAGTAGCTTTAGCTTCACCATCACAGTACTGGATCAAATAGTTTAACCTAGATCGCAATCCAACGCTCTCATCAACACAGTCCTCGAAATTCCCTGTGAAACTCCAATAGTTCATAGGGTTACCATCGAACCTTATAATCTCTTTCTTTGGTAGGTCTAAAGCTCTAGATAACATTGTTACCCAGTCTTTTCTAGGAGGAACATCAACTGCATACGAGGCAGATGTAGACTCATACGTCGGCGCCTTGTCAATCACAACTTGATTATAATTTTCTCTTCCCTTTTGACGTAACCGTTCCAACTCAATTTCTCGTTCTGTCTGGGCTAAACGTACTTTAGCTGATTCTAACTCTAACAAGGGATCCATTCGGTAGGTATTTCCTCCAAGCTGGTCTTCAATATGAGTTTCTGAATAATAGGGAGACAATCCTTGAATATGATCAATTTTATGACTCTCCATAAACATTTAAAGATACTCAATGTACGAATTCTTGATGAGATACTGTTCGAAACTTTGTAGAAAGCAATTTCCTACAGATTCAACTTCAAGCTAATCCCTAGTCTGTCGAATACAAAGTCTTGGTTCAACCAAAGTCAGAACAAGTAAGCAACTTGGCTCGATAAACTTCCTGTGTTTCTAAAACGTAAATTCACACTGTTAGTGTACAAAACAAAAGTACAGTCTATAAACACAGGGAAAAACGGAGGCATTAATAACGTACCGAACAGTAGCTAGAGAGTTGGAAAAATGAGTCAACAAGGCAAATATTGTTTTATAATAAACATCGAATTGTGATTGGTGAATAAATGAGACACGGTCATACAAAGTCAAGAAAAGTTAGTGTGGTGGTGGGCGTTTCACTTTACTATTGGTGGGTTCGTTTATCGATCACATTTTACGATATTACTAGAAGTTCAGTTGGCAAAAATATATCCAGAAAGGATTCTTTGAGTTAAAGACATCACGTTCCTTTTTTATGAAGAAAGTAAAAGCAAATTACAGCAGAATCAGTACTGGCTTCCATTCTGAGACATATTCCTTAATGTTTCAATCCACTGTGTCGAATCATCTCTAGGACCCCTACCAGGAGTCATGAAAGACTGACAGAGGCCAATCCTGTACAGCTTCCTTTCATACCTCAACACCATGTCATAAAGTAAAATCAGTCCCAGCATCGGCAAATAATACACGATGTCGAATTCTGTAGGACGACATTCATAGGACATATCCAACCCATCAAAGTCGACGTTTCGAGATAGTGACACTAACTGAATCGTCGTCTCTGTGCCTGAACACACGATGCAGAGCCCTTGCATTACCAACATTATGTTGCCACTGGATGTTAGCAATCTTTCGGAGGCAACGATGACCAAACACTGAAAATTATCTGACATCTTCAACTCAAAGAGACTAAGATTCAGAAGCATAGTGAAATACTGCTCTAATTGACTCATCGTGTGGACTTTTAAGATGCCAATGTATCACTCAGACACACATTTCAATAGACAACCCCAAAAATCAGTCCTGTTCAACGAAACTAACGCAGCCGTAATGTCAAGAAGCGCTACAATTCTTGTCCTGTACTAAGTATGATGGTGTTATTACATTTGGCGAAGGGTGAAAATATGATCAATACATGATCGACTAGAACGAAAACCAGCCTGCTTCTCGCGAGTTGATCGTTCGCGGGTTTTAAACAATCTGTTATTTACGACAGAAGCCAAAAATTTGGACGATATTGAATGTAGACTTATCCTCCAGATGTTTCAGAAATGATGTGAACCCTTTTTAAATATATGGACAACTATCTGTGGTTTTGGAACACTCTCTAATCGTCAAACCTTTGAGAAGATCTCAGTCACTTTCTCATCCAGAATTCCACCATCGTCTTTGAAAAGGGGTGGATGCGAAAATTCGGGGCCTGGTGATTTGTGGCGCGTCAGGGGTTGAGGTTTCTTGAATATTCCCGCCTCACTGAAGACGCTTCCACTCACTCATATAGTTGACTTAGTAGTCTCATGTCCATCTTTTTACACTTCTTTATTACACTCTGAACTTCTAACATCACTCTTATTTGTCATCACATTCAAATCAGTTACAGTGGTAGAAGAGTAAATAGATACTCTCTTAATTTCCATATTTAATATATTATTCAAGTTCAGTACTTGTTTTCATTACAAACTGACCGTTTAAGTAAAAATCCTGGATATTCTTATTCTTTAAAAGTTAGTTGCACACAAAACGAATAATTTTCGTAAGCTCGCCACAAAGACATTGGATACTGAAAGCATTTGTTATAAATCCTCAAGTCCATGGACTCCACAGGCACCCCGTTTCAAATGTCGACTACAGTGGATGTTTCGAAAACTTACAAAGTAAGGGTTATTTCTTGTCTTTTCACCTTAAAGAAATATACTTACCTGCAACATTTTTACTTAACAGTTTCGTGTGCATAGTTGTTTTAACGTTAACACGCGTCTTGTGTTTACTTCCAGCCGTTTACTTTCGGACATAGGCATGAAATTAATGTTCTGACCTGAATTTTATTGCGGCCTTTTGCAAAAACTTCATGAATTCGTTCAGAATTTTCGTTTTTAGTTATTCACGTGAATTCGTAATTGAAATCCACAGTCTGCTTTAGACTACTTCTAAAACTAGTAATTGGGAGTATGATTAAGTCTAAAGTAAAAAGGTTTGAGTGAGAATTGTTTTGCTCGCGAAATTATAGGTTTGTGGAAAAATAGGTTAAGTTTGATCAATTTATTTCTAACTAATCAACTACTTTTTGGAATACTGCTCCATTCACTAGAGTGTGTAGTCATTTGGTCTATCACAGTTTCCACTAAATAATTTCATTTTCTTACAATTGATGTGAATTGACACAATCACTGTAAGATATTCGAACTTAATTTCTAAAGGCAACCGATACACTCCTGCTTATATATATTTACTTACAAATATCCATACTTAAGTACTAGTGCCTGGATGAAGGGGGCTTTAGGTGACTGTGGTTCTACAGTGACAGCAACTTCAATCACATTCAATGAGCGGATTTTATTAGCGAATTTATCATTATAGTGTATTATTCAAATGCTAATTGTAACTTTGATCCCTGTTTATTTTAAGTAAAATCACACAATGTTAAGGTCCATCTTTGTCATATGTTACTATGTTACATTTCCATATCTACATTCGTCTCAGTTTCTTTATTCTCAAAATCCGTTTTCTTGTTTCAAAGTAACTAGACATCTTTCTAACAGTCTGCGAGTATATTTTGAGATGTGATTAGTTAGAGAATCTCACTCATTAACCTATATTTTAACTAGTTCAGTTAAGATATCTGAGAGGCATCGATAGTTTTCTTACTCAGTGTCCCACAACCCATTAACTTAATCTTTATTTGGTTGATGAGTTATTCTAACGTCTCATCTACAAATGTCTGTCTGAAAGTCGCCCATTTCTGTGAATGTTTAATGGAGTTAGTATCTTAGATATTCTGTTCATGTAGATTGGCTTCCCTGTTATAACATGAAATAATTGGTACGGGAAAGCGTTGATAAAGTCTCAAACTGAGAACCTCAAACTTAAACTGAAAACGCTTCTTTTTTAGTATCTTGTTCTTTCTAATCCAAGAAGTGCCACACCACGGTCCAAATCTGCTAAATTAGTCCAAAAATGATATGATCAGCCGCATTATAAGCATACAACTGTTACCTAAGAACACTCATGGATGGAGACATTACTTAATATAGCTTGACTAACAGTTCATATTGTTCGAAATTATTGTAGCCGTACGGTGGATGCGTGAATCTATACTTTTTCGTTGAACTTCATTATATCTGTATTTACTTCAATGTGATGAACATGTATTAACTAGAAACAGGAGATTTTTATGAGTTTCTGTTTAAATGGAAGGGTACGATTCAGTAGTCCATAGGTATACAATTCATCATAATGTTCGCATTGTACTCCACATTCATGTAAAGTTACAATGTAATTTTAAGTCAGTATTGGAATTTTCAAATGAACTTTAATTATAATGTGTCCCCGATTCTAACTTGTATTAATAAGGTGATCGTTTTGATAGAACTATAAGTTTAAGTTTTTAGTCTTGACTCTTTCGCTAATTTTCTATTATTTGTTATGGATCTTCAATCTGTTCTAACCAATCCTCAAAGTTACCTTAGAGATTGAAACATCAAGTGTGCAATGTGCTCGTTTGCTTGCCTTTGAAAATCTAGGTCCAGAAAATATATTACGCATTTCTGTATTTATAGCAAAGTTTATTATTGGACACTAAATTGGTGTGCAAAATAGAATATTTAATCATTCAGTGTATTATAATCCGATTAGGATTCTTTGATTTAGTTTCAGGCAACCTTAAAAACTCGTATAAAGTTTGAATATCACTACCTACATTTATCGGTTAAGGATTTATTAGCAGTTTATTTTTAAGTTGTGTAAAACAAACTGTCAGGTCGGTGGCATGTTTCGTTTTTGAAATCACAGCGGTATGCAACATAAAAATGTTTAGTATTGTTAAGGTGTAGGGAAGGTAAGTTTCATGATTCAAAATCGGCTGCAAGAGCTTCAAGTTTCAGGCAAAAAGAAGGTGACAACTCATTGTGTTTTTGTATGTCTGGCAAATCGATCTACATAACAACCGACATATTAATTACTCAAACGATTAAAGCTTCTGGTATTCATAAGGTTTTTATACTGTGCAGATTACATCAATTATCTGTAAAGTAACCACATCGATGACAATCAACCTTAATAAGCACTTGCAGAGTTTTGATTCTGGATTTCGGATATTTCATTATCAGACTATTTTATTCTATTTTATTAACAACTGCCTTATAGAAAATACATTTGTGAATTCACCAGTTGTTTTTAGATATTTACACTTTATAACTCAAGCTTGCTAATCTTTAAAAAGCTTTGCATACAACCTGTTTTAGTCTCCAACGAGCCATAGAAAATGTACCAATCGAATGACTAGTATGTTTCGTTTCTGTTCTACTTGCTTGCCTACTTCAAGTTCATCAGAAAAAAAAGTTCAGATTGCACCACCTACAGATGAAATCCCTCAAACGGTAAATTCATCACACTAATCCACACTGAATACTGCTAACATTTGTGGCTTATATGTAGCTTTTTCCCTTCCCTCCCACTAATAACCAATACAGTGTTTGTGTTTCCAAACTTACTTTCCTGGTGTCATCAGTATTCTATTACTTGTTCTGTTTTATGTTTATTTAACTACTTACTGTGAATAAGTTTATACCTAGCATAAATATGCACTAGTTCTAGCCATCTAAATCTTGCATCCGTACAACAAAAGACAAAAGTATCAAAATAAAAGACAAAGAGAGGGAAAAGCTAAACATCTAAAACGTATCTGCAGAAATAAAACAAATTAAAAAATAGAAAATACAGACCATTTTAAATCTCATAAATTCTGAGGTTTGGAAAATAAGCAAACTTTTTCTCAAGTGTTAGAGTAGTACACGAATAAGACTAGTACTAGTAATCATATGTATCCGTATTTCTTACCCTTATCAGCAAAAGAACTTGTGACTAGTACTCTGATTGATTAAGAATAAAGCGCATCTTGACTGTATTTGATAACATCAGATATGAAAATATTCCTCCCCCTAGTCGATATAACGGCAAAATGGAAATATTGTTTGTCGATCTTTACTATCAACATACAACGATACTGCCAGTAACCTAGACTATATCATCACCAGACTGGGTACTTGATCGATACACTTCACACTGTGGGGTCATATGGTATCAAATACGCGATTCATGACCAAATATAGAGAACCAGAGTATAGACTAGATAGTACGTTCCTCAACACAATTACAACCACTCTACACTCATTGAGTCCAAAGTAGGAATCAACAGTAGGATGGAAATAAAATTAAATAGTCAGTAAGCTGAACGCCTGTTAATCTGCACTCAGTGACCAATCATAATTTATTTTCTCTAGTTAAACATCAATATCAGGCGTGATATTCTTATCTAAAGTGTACTTAAAGTACTTTCTGAATCTGAAAGATCGCGTTGTCGCTCAAAAAGTATGTAACATTTATCCCCAAATTCACTTTCATAAATATAACAAATCTCAGTACTTTATCTCATCACTGAAATTATATGGAGGAGTGATATAACTGTTTTGTTCACACGTCAATTTCAGGGAAGCCATATATTCGTTACCCTTTTATTCTTTCAGAAAGTTTAATTTTTCTCCGCGCAAAAATCCTTCATCTGATCCAACGTTCAACCACTTTATTGTGACCAAAGAGGTTTTATCTCCAATAGTTTATTAGTCAATATGCTATTAACCCTTCCTGGATCCCTGACAAGATTTCTGCTGGTCCAGAGCCCGAGTAAAGAAGGTTTGGTCTCTCCCAAAGTAGGGTATTATTAATGCTACCCTACCAATTGACACTGAGTACCCTACGTACACAACTTTGTATAGATAACTGTACCTTTTTGTAATATAGTTGTAGTAGCCCTACATGTTTCAGCTCCGTACACTAGAACTATCTCCACGTTTGTAATCAAAATGCTGACTGATGTTGACTGACAGTCAGTAATCTCGATTACCATATCTTATGTTCTTCAGTTGTAGGAATGCTGCACTTGCCTTGTCAATTCTTGCCTTCATATATGCATCAGATCCTCATTGTTCATCAATGATCCTGCACAATTACTTACCACTTTCTACCTCTTCCACAGCTTGACTGACGCCCTCTTTGTTGTATTTGAGGATCTTGTTTTTTACCTTGTGAATGTTGAGGCCTACTGATGTAGAGGCTTCTACTACATTGGTTGTCTTCACCTCCATCTGTTGCTGTGTATGAGATAGAGCAGCTAGGTTGTCTGCAAAGTTCAAATCATCTAGCTGCATTCAAGCTCTCCATTGCATTCCGTGCTTCCCCTGAGATGTAGAGGTCTTCGTGATCCGTCAACCACCGGAAGAAAGAGAAAAGGAGAGAGTAAGCAGTCTTGTCTGACACTGATCCACACTTGGAATGCATCTGTCAGCTGTCTTCCATGTACGACTTTGCAGTGTAGTCCGTCGTATGAATTCCGGATGATGTTGACGATCTTCTCAGGTACACCATAGTGTTGAAGAACGTTCAATAAGGTTCTTCTATTAACGTGATCAAACACTTTCTCATATTCAAGGCAAGTGATATATGATAATGAATTCCATTCAATTGATTGCTCAATAATGATCCGTAGTGTCACAAGTTGGTTTGTACACAACTGATCCTCAAGGAATTCAGTCTGTTGATCTCGAAGTTGGGCATCTGCTGAACTTTTCTTCGGTTCAGCAACATTCTGTTGTTAACGTTTTCTGGTATTGATATTAATGTGATGCCATTGCAGTTTTCACACTTGCTCAGATCACCTTTCTCTGGTATCTTAATCAAGTAACGTTCTTTCCAGTCTGTCGACACTTGTTCTTCCTTTCAAATCTTCCTGAATAGAACGTGGAACATCTTTGCAGTTAATTCTATGTCTGACTTCAGTACTTCAGCTTCTATGTTTCTTTGAGTGGATGTTGAAGAACTTGAAACATGTTGCTGAGATCTATTTCGAATTCGTTGAGTTTGTGAGTATCTCGAACGAAGACTGTACTAAACGGTTGTAAGTCTGTTGCTCCAGTAGTTTTCCAGTGCTTCTTTAACTTCAGTCTCATTTCGGTCACAATCAGGTAAAGATCTGAAGCTATATTAACTATCCTCTTTGTTAATACATCTTCCATGAACCTTCTGAACTTTTTATTTGTACAGGTATGGTCGATCTGGTTCTCTGTGGTGTGGTCCGGTGAAACCCATGTAGCTTTGCGTATATATTTGTGGGGTGGAATTGTGCCAAACTACCATTGGAAACCTTGAAGCACTGGGCGGCCGTTTCATTCTAGTATGGGACTACTCGGCAATTCGCATCCATAATACCACAAGCGGGGCTCGAACCCAGTACTTTCAGTTTCGGCGATATGTTCCAAGGCTTACAAAATCTACTCATAAAAACATACTAGCTGAATCACTGAAGTCAGACATAGAAGTAACTGCGAAGATGTTTTATGCATAATGGGTTTCACTCATTCCGAGCATCAGCAGGTTGTATCTTGTCATTTCCCCAGCTATATGAGTAGTCCTCCCGGTCTTCCGCATTGTTCGAACATTCCATGTACCTATATTAATTGTTTCTCTGGTTTTTAAAAGGGACCTCGTTTCGTGACTTCCAAAGAAGCTCGTCTTTCACCGTGAGTCGTCATAATTCTTCTAAATGAAGATTCTTCAACTTTTGGGCTTGAGTTTAGATTTTTTGAACGATTGTTTCTGGTTAGCGTTTTATTTAGCAATTTTGTTTTCTACTGGACGAAGTTGTCGACCACATGCCCAACCCTCCTTCTTTACCCGAGCTTTGAACCAGCAGTAACCTTAGAAGCGCGTCATGCTGAGAAGCAAACATACTGTACTTTGGATGTGCAAACTAACTATATAGGAAATTAGCAAAGTTTAGATTAATCAAGAATGGCAAGCCATAATTACCAGGTATTTAGAAATGACAGAAGAGATTTCCTACATTCTGTTATGCAGGATTTGGCTGAAAGAACAAGTACCATCAGGCTGTAAAAACAAACATATCATCAAGATAGAGTGACGTAATCAGCTATTGGTGATCTTGAGAATAACAGAGGTGTCAGATTACTTCTAATACTAGAAGTTTTTGGCAGTGTCGCTGAACCGATTGAAAGATTTGATAGACACCCAAATTTGAAATTAAAATGCTGGCCTTCTTAAGGGTCAATCACGTACTGAGTGAATCGCGACACTGCTATAATTGTTGGACAAGTAGTCGGATGGAACGTGTCACTTTACGTTAGCTTCCTAGATCACGAAAAAGGGCTTAACTCTGTGAATAGGAGGGACTTGTACAATCTTCAACACTGAAGTGCTTAAAAAAACCACCATTCGAAACTCCAAGGACGAACTGAATTGCAGGGTTGTGCATGGATGGCAACTCACTGATGCATTGCTAATTAGAACTGTTTTTAAACAAGGCCACCTGTTTTCACCTTTTCTCTTCTGATCGTTGAATGCATTATAAAGATCTCCACGCCTCAGTAAAATTATAGGAATGCAGTGGACACGTAAAATGCAGCCAGACGACTTGGATTTAGCAGATGACTTACTTCTATCTCATATACTGCAACAAATCCAGATCAAAACCCTCGGTGTAGCATCGGCTTCCGCAGCAGTAAACCTTAGTATGTACGAGGGAAAAAGCAAGATTCTAAAATACATTAGTAAGTAATGGTCAAATCACAATTGACGGAGAAACTCATGAAGAGACAGAAGCCTTTACGTACGTGGGACACTTCATTGATAAACATGTAGGATGTAATGTCGATGTGGAGGCACGAGCTGGAAAAACAAAGGCAGCATTCTTGCAATCGAAGAATATCTGGAACTTAAGAGAGCTGTCATAAATGACCAAAGTTATGATTTTCAACACTGACGTTAAAACAATGCTGTTGTACGAAGCTTAGACTAAGAAGTACCACCATCAAAACAGTGCGAGTACTTATAAATACTTGTCTGCACAAGATACTCCAGATCCATTGTCAAGAGATCATCAGGAGAACAAACTAGGCTTCTGTTGAAAAAGGAATTAGAAGATAGTGAAAGTGAGGAAGACACTATCCAAAAACCACTAGACTGGATGACAAGACAACCCTTAGCTTAAAATTCTCAAGACACATAACTCTGGGATTCGGAAGCAAGCATCAGGAGTATTAGTACCACTTAGCGAAAACTAGGAATGTGAGTGCAGTACAGAGTTGTATGGAGATCCCTGGCTGACCTACGCTCCATAAAGGGTAACAAGCAGGTCTAAATAATTAATATGTTAATATTTTGTTACCGCACTTCCAAAATATCACTTATTAATGAAAAAAAAGTTTATAGATAAACTATATTCAATCGGTAGCTCAGGAGTTAAGGCACTCGACTTTCAGTTATCAAATCGTAGCTTCAAATCACCTCCCCACTTTAATTTGTGCAATCAAATTATATCACTAATCCTCATACTTATAATGTGAACCAAAACCAAATATATAAATTTTACCTGATCAGTGAATTCAATTACATTCACTATTTATTATTATTATTATTATTGCATAACACCAGTAGCAGCTAATTCAGTGGCATTTGTTGTTATTTCTATGCACATTTATACTGTCTGATTATTCTCTTACCATTATCGTGTCATACTACGCTGCATATTTTTAAAATCTTAAGTAGGAAAAATTAGGTTTCCTTTTAAAATAGTTCATCTTTCTCTCGCTCTCATAATCTGGATCTCTCTTTTCTTTTTAATTCTTTATAGCGTAAATCACTTGATCGATATGAAAGAATTGGAAATTTATTAGAACAATTTTTAAAAGGAAAGCTACAGCATATTCATAAATTTACTGATTTACCAGGTGAGAGAAATAAAAAAAAAGAGTAAATACTACTCTTTAATCCCATTTCAGTTGGAAATTCACTTTTTTACACGTAATTGCTTCTCCTTCAAAAGTTGAGTTAAAACAATATTGTGGGAGGTGAAACACTTGTAACTAATGCCAGTGGATAATTGATACGCTATATCATAGATTGGTTGAATATAGAATTATACCAATGGACATCGTACAGAGGTTAAGTCATTGACCACGAGACCTGAATTTCATAGGTTAAATTTGTGACGAGATCGTAAGTGCGCATTAATGAGAAGCGTTCATATGAGAATAAAAAAACTACTCAGTGCTACGTAGTTTCTAATAGTACTACAACTAAAATCAATCTTTGGTGAATACAACCTACAAAAGTTGATATTGTTTAAAAAACAAAAGTGAAGACATTGTGCTTGATAGTTATGTACATATTCATTGCTTATTTTGAATAGTGGTTATCGAAGTTATGAATAAAATGATACACTAAAGCTTTTAGTGTACTCAATTACTATTAACAGTGAAAACTTTCTTCAACTATCTCTTAATAATTAACATTTCATTGTACTAATTTGTATTACTTACTAAATTACCATTATCTTATCAGGTAGGTTTGTTTCACTTTGGACGGGGGAGAGAGGTGACAATGTTAACTATCATTGTTATTATTATATAAACAAATTATTTCTTTCTACTATTCATTTTTGACAGTTCAAAGTTCCTTCGTACATTTTCTAGTTTGCAACAAAACAAAAACATTGTGAGATATGATACGATAATGTGTCGTAACCAACAGTTATATTTCATACTAGAACAGTAATGAATATTATTAATCAGTACAGCGCAAAAGTTAATATGTGAATATAAAGATGACAAACACGACAAATCGGCTGATTAGGTGATGAATCTTCATCGATTGAAATGGTTGGGAGATGTATTACAAATCAATAATTACTGCTTACTTGTACGGGCGATGTTAGCTAGCATAAGAATATTTTGAATGGAAGCTAGAAGCGACTTGACTAATACTTAGCATCAGTTTGTGATGTTTTTGACTATTTGTGTAAACGGCTATATGGCAGGTAAAGACTACATGGTTCGGATTTTGGCCAGTAATTGCTGACGTTTAATGACGTGGTTCACAATGGTGCAGATGGGTTCACTTTTTGTCTTCCTTCAGATTTGGGTTTTGAAATTATCTTATAGTTGGTATTTCACAAATGTATTCCTTCTTTGTGAATTTTATTGTCTCGGTTTAATATTTTATACCACCACTGATACTGTTACTATTTCCACTACTGTGGCATTTGTCTTCATATTTTCATCTCATTATGCCGTTAAGTGTGAGACGACTTAAGTAGATGCATACACACACACAAGGTTTCTATGTTGCTTATGAATGACTGATGTGGATGAATCTTTGTTATTTCTATGATTCTAAAGCTTTGATCATTTAAAATATTCAATTATAGATCTCATTTGTCTCAAGGATACCCATAGATCAGTCTTTTTTGCTGTCAAGCGAATAGCATCTTTTTTGCTTCATATCATGTCAATTAGATTAACTTTCGGAAACATTAATTCTATGTTAAAATGACTTCAAACAACAATCAAACCAATATCTGTCCTCCAAATCTGGATATTTTGTTTTGTTTCCTTAAATACTAAACTGATGTACTTTATTTCCTTTTTTGTAAATATACATTGACTTATCTAAGTTTCTACTTCATTTTTGTATTGTATCTTAGTTGCTTAAAATAGATTGGTAGTTATTTTCATTTTGAAAACCTACGTTATAATAAGTAACCTTACTCACTCATATACATTCTGTTGAGGTCACTTATTATTAATATACACTCTTAAGTTGCTATAACAACGAAAACGACCGCTAAATGATGATCATAATTTCTTAATTTCTGTTTGTTAACTAAAATAAAAATTAATTATGATCATTCTGGAAGATGCACCATGGATTATTTTGTCTCTTATGGTTGATATAGATATTAACATCTCGACTTCACTCTTTATTGCATTCTTGATTGTGAATTCCAGTATTCTATCGCACGCACCTTTTCATTCTGTCTTCCTGAATCATATGTCAGTGCTTCATCTTTCTCTTCATCATTGTTACCACATCAATTCCTTTGTTTACTCAACTTGTTGGTCTCACTGAAATCATAGACTGACCTAAGTTAGACAACTACTGGGAACCTGGAAGCATTAAATAGTTGTTTCTCCCTATTATACGACTACTTAGTGGTGCGAATCCATAATTCCGCAATGGGCAATCGAACCCACGACCTTCGGTTTCGCGCGCGGACGCTTAACCTCTAGACCACTGGACGGGGACCGAATGGTGTGCCAGACTAACTTTAATCAATCCACAATGTTGTGCAACCATCTCCCATTGTCTTTTGTGAGTACCTTTCTTACGTTCAACATGGTTGTTAATTTCATCTCGTCGTGTCAATTTGGTTTGCCAACTTGGGCTTACGCACATTTGTACCATACTTTACATGGATTTTAATTAACTGACTGACTTCACTAGAAGATTGATTTTTATGAATAGTAGAAATAAACCATCATTCACTGAAATCTGATTCGTCTACTATAAATAGAATCAAATGTCGAAATATAGATTGGCATAATACGTACATCATATTTGTCAATTATCTCAAGCAATGGAAGTTCAGACTTTCTTATACTCATAGATACATCTCTAACTCAATTATTACTCTTCAATACACTCACTGACTGATCTTTTATAAGCTTGCTGATATATATGTAGACAATTGACACTGACATATAAAAAAGTAAATCAGTGTACCATACAACTTCAGTATAAAATAGTAACTTCACATTGAAAAGTATATAGATTATGATCAGGCTAATACTGTTCATTAAAACTAATCCTCATTCTATCCTTATCAAACTGTGTGTTACTAAGTCTCTGGTCTTATGAAGATCATGTTAGGCTTTGAAGTGACCATAAAATAACGTCAACCTTGAGCGACGTATCATCCAATGAGAAAACAGAGTGTAGAGTTACAAAGCTATTTATAAAAAAATAGTGATGTGGTGATGGATATACAGTCTCAACATGGTAAGTTTAAAGTCTAGTACAACTACACAGATGATTCACCCTAACTTTTGGACAGACTTTATTGACTCAGACAACATATGATTATTGAGTCATTCTTACTATAATAATAAATGTTGTCATCATAGGTAATATGACCTTCAGCACACACTATGTCCTTGTGATTCTGTTCTTATGCACCTCATATGTACTGTTTACATGTCTGTCACTCATTATTTCACTCAGTACCTGTTTATTTGTCACACTATGCTTCATCCATTTTGGGTTGTATTGAAGCTTGTAATGAATTGTAAAAGGGAGTACGCATTCTTGAATTCTCCGCTTTGAGTTTCTGCTTCTCGTTTTCATGTCTTTCTGGATAAGCGATTGTCTGAAATAAATACATCCGACTCAATCCTTACTTGACTTATTACCCCCGTCGCTCAAACGGGATTAGCCTAGGTGTTAAATGGAAGATTTATGTTCACGGTTTATTCGTTCTTTCGTCCAAATCGGAGTCAGATCTCTGGGCACTAAAAATGAATTAGAATTAAGATTACGGACAAGTAGTCTGTCTAGACTCAGGAGTTGCACTTAGTAGTGTCAAAGTTAAGAGTTAGAGATATAATATCCTAGAACACTCGGCTATGCCCTAAAGTAAACCATCGCTCTCAGGTACGATCTGCGTCAGGAGCATGTAATCCTTGTAATTTGACTTATGCATCATGTCAAACTCATTATATGGACCCCTAAAAGTTTTTTAACAGTTCTAAGCACCTTACAAGATAATTATGAACAATTTTACTTATTTCATAAATTTCGATAATGTAATTAGAAGACGAAGATTATCAGAACTATGTGTTTTATTTTGCATAAAATCCAATAACCACTATCTTGAATCTGATTAGTTCCCTCAAGGTCGTTGTTGGTTTGTAGTCTCGCAATGATTTTTTATCACTAACTTTGGTTTAAATTGAATAACTACTGAAAACCCTAGGATATCGGGCAGTCACTTCACTCAAATTCTGAAACTCTTGGGCAAAATACACTCACACCACGGACTCTCAAAATCTTCCAGTCCCATGACAGTCGTAACCTTTATCCAATGTTGACTTGCCTACTTTTGGATTTTATTAACTCCAGAAGTCAAAAGCTTCACAACGTTGCTAGTGGTCATACTACTTACCACTTAATCTGGTGCTTTCGTGTACAGCCTTTCTATAATTCCAGGATAGTGTTCATTATCTTGATCGAAAACACTTGAATCTTGAGTGTGCTCACCCATTACTGTCGAACAGTCCTCATATTAAGATGCAACAACTTTGTCTAATGCATTGATTTCATTTCACAACAGATAACTTGTGTTTCTGTTCCTCTCTTTCTCTCTCTGTTTTCAGATGGTTATTTCCTAATTGATGAAATTATCCAATTACCTGAATTCAAAAAAGAACATTGTACATATGATGAAATTATTGATGTTGTACATAATGATGCATTATTACGATTCAGTGTTAGAGGATCAAAAGTTCGCTTGAAACCGCCTGAATTAAATGTATGGTGATATTTCATATTTCAACTTTTCTTGATATTTTTTATGATACTTTAGAAAGACCCTGATGTAATTTTATCAAAAAAGTTAGCTTGGATTCTACGTCATGGAGCAGAGAATGTCGGAATGAAATATGAACCTGGTATGTATGTGTGTTGTTTTCACGTCATAGGTTTTTTTTATCTAAATATTCCCATGGGACAATGTTGGATGAATTGATTAGACACATAAAAAAGGTGACCGAACTGCAGTAGATGATCTACTCACTAAAATGTTCGCCAACTCTCCACCTAAATGAATTTCATAATAAAAGTAGACTATAGTGAAGATGTTCAGCGACTCTTGAAGTAACTTTGAGAAATTAAAGCCAATTTTTAGCCAGTAGGAATGCAGGTTACATAAATGAATAATTTATTACATCAGCAAAACCAAAATTTTCTTCAAGTAAAGTAATTGGCCAGAATTTAAGGTTATAAATTCGAATACAACATAAGCAATTAAGAGTAGTGATAATAAATTGGATGGACAAATATTCTCTTGCCCTATATCGATGAAAACTTTAAATATCAAAAACTTTAAAGTTATTTTTGTAACTTTATAAATTACCGTCCTCATCCTTCAACCTTCTCATATTTATCGGTTTTTAGTAATTAAATATTCGAAGTATTTATTCAACTTTCAATATGTTACATGATATTTGTTATTGTGCTTCAAACTTTGCGCAAAGATCTAATAGCCATCTTAAATCTCATTGATCTGTCAATATATGATGCTTTTGCCTAAACTGTTCTAATGAAATAGTTTTTCTATGAGTACTCGTGGTCAGACAACAAATAATGAATGATGGTTGTACAGGATCGTAAATTAAATGAAATAATATATTAACATGATTGGGTCCAGGTTGATTAGTGTAAAGGTTGAACAGTCACGCACGAGACTGAAGGCTATGGGTTCAATTGCTAGTCACGAAGTCATGGATGCTCACTGTTATGAAGTACCATGCTAGGATAAAGCGGCCGTTTAATGCTTCCAGATTTTTAATAGTGTTTTGGATAAGATCACTTTATGATTTCAACTATGAAAATAATTGGTCAATCATGAAAATAAATGTTACAAAGTAATCAATATAGCATCACCTATACCCATTGCATTTCTTTGTACATAGCATACCACACTAAATATCTGACAAGATTTGTACTGCACAAAAAGTTATTTAACCTACGCGATAGCTATACAATGATTCTTAATTTAGAGTTAATGAATACCATAGTACTACGAATTAAGTTTCGTCTAATATATATATATCGATTCGGGATAAATTTGCTGAAGTAGAAATAGAGTAATCAAACAACACGATAATTTTCCTACGTCTAGTTAGACTATTATTAATATAACGTAAGGTTTACAATATTTCCCTCTCCCTTTCTCTCTGCGGTTTACTACATGACGCTAGATTGGATACTTGAACGATACACAATACACAGAGATTAGATCACTGTACATCAGATACACGATTCACGATCAAGACTAGAAAACCTTCGTAAATACCAGACAATACTTCATTGCACACAGTTAGAAGCAATCTACACTCAACGAGTTAGGAGTAGAAATCAATGAGAGGAATAGAGATCATATATTTCATTGTCAATAAGTTAAGTGACTGTTTGTCTACACTTAGTGACTGATAATATTTTACTGCTACTACCACACATAAATTATTTAATTTTTAAAGTTGAATTCACGAGTCAATTTAGGCTAGACCACTATTAAAAACCTGGAAGAACTAGATAGCCGTTTCGTCCTAGTATGGGACTCCTCAACATTGTTTCCTGGTTTTCAATGGTAGTCTAGCTTCGATTGATTCGTAAATTCAACTGTTAAAATACTACAATCTCCCCAAATCCCCACATTGATAATTATCTAGTTGTTTAAATTGAATTTCAAATGAGTCAGTGTTTGAGCTCGTGACCTTGATTGGTGGTGATTGTTAAATATTCTGACTTTACTCATCAATTATCTATCATATGTGTAAAGTATATTTAATAAGAGCTAATTGTTATTCTTACTATAGGAAGCATTTTAGAGATATTCTTGAATTTTATAGTTCACATGACGTTACTAATTGATTTGCTTTTATTAACATTATTAATATTTACTTATTTTTCGTTAAATTTCTACAGGTGGTTACCTTTATGTAGATAAAATACTTCAATTGAAACCATTTCAAGGGGTTCGACTAGAAGATATTTCACGTGTTGTTAATTCGAACGATAAAAAACGCTATGAACTGTCGACAAATCCAGAAAATGGCCGGTTAAGAATCAGAGCTTACCAAGGTCATACTGTTACAGTAAGTGAATAAATGTGTCTATATATAATTTCTCATTTTCCCGGTCGTTTATATTTCTTGTTCCTTGTGAATATATATATATATATATATATATATATATATATATATATATATATATATATATATATATAAGTGATGTATCTCTCTTAATTTAAAAGCGAAGTAATCAGTTTGATATCAATGATTATATTGTGAATCGATGTAATTTCTACTGTATATTTTCTACTTGTCATTTAATTCATCAGTTAAATACAAATCCAAGTACTTAACTTCCAGCTACACAAATGTATGTTGTATACTATCTTTTCGGTGCGCAAAACACCTTAATATTTGTTGACTGTTCAGTTAAACTATACATACTATCTAACTAGTCCCAGGCCTAGTAAATTTACATATTAGAAGTTCTGATGCCTATTTGAAGATAAATGTATGAGAGAGTACATTATTGTCATTATGAGTTTACTGATTAACAAAAGTGTGTTAAGTTTTACAAATAATGTATTTTTACAATAGTAGTTCATTTAAACCACAGTTTTTTTATTACATTTGCTGTTAGATAGTAATCGGTAAGAAACTTTTAAACCCTTAGTTTTGTGCTACTTGGGTAGTCATCAACAAGGTGTACGTTCAATATGTATTTAGTTATGAGTCATGTGTCTGTCTGTTAAATCAGTGTTTGAGTTTACTGTTCGTCAGTTCATTTCATATTGTTTTACTACTGTAAAATTATGATCTATGAAGCTAAAAAATTATATATGTAATTCTTTGCACTTGTTTGTCATTATCTAAGCTCCAAAAAGTTAGATAACATAACACAGAATCGCCTACTATACATTATCACGATGAAATTCATCCATAAGAATCACGTATCCAGTAGATAACAAATAAACATCCTACTGAATAATACGGCCTATTTATTACCAGACTCAATCATCCCAATTATCAATATAATATGCTAAATAAATAAAATGATATAACATTAACAGGCAAGATTTTACTTCCACTTAGATATCAAAAACATACAGGTCATTTATCTGTCTTCCAATCAAAAGGAAAGTGTGCTGTCCACATCGTATTGCTTTACTACTGTGAAATATACCCAATGAAAGCACAAACCATGTATGAACTGCAAATATACATGATGAAACCACTAAGTAAGTGATTCTGTGGTTAGGTATAGAATACTAGGTAGAATACAAGAAGGTTGGTTGATAAAATCATAAAATTCATCAACTGACAAAATAAGCTAGGAGTCTCTATATCAAGACAGGATATCTGCATGAAATCGTCGAGTGCCTAGTCTATGCCACGTTGGAAGGTGAAAAATTATGAATCTAACCCTGTGAAATTGTTTTAATCTATATTTGTAAGCAACTCCGCTCACACTCCCACCAGTGTTCCTTTTAGTCCAAAGTCCTTGTAAAGAGTGAGGTTCGGCAATAAGGTTAATAAACCAAAACCCATAAAAACAGATACTCACTCGAAAACGCTAGCCAGAAACAATCTAAACTCGAACCTGAGAGTTGAAGAATCTTCATTTAAAAGAATTATAACGACCCATGATGAAAGACCAGATTCTTTGGAAGTTACGAGACTGATATTCCTTCTAACAACTAGAGAAACAAGTAATATCGGTACATGGAATGTTCGAACAATGCGGAAGACCTGGAGGACTACTCATATAGCTATGGAAATGACAAGATACAACCTGATGATGCTCGGAATGAGTGAAACCCAATAGAGGCACACTGGACAGAAAAGCTTAATTTCGGGAGAGATGATGTTGCATTCTGGTCATGAAAAAGTAAATGCTTCGCACACACAAAGATTTGCAGTGATTTTGTTTAAAGGGACACAGAAAGCACTCACAGAATGGGGTTATAAAGAACCAATAACTTGAAGTTGCCTAGAGGTGCTGTGGTTCAATTAGTACTAACAATAATACATCTCTGTAGACAGCCTGAATAAGATTGAAGAAGTAAGAAACATGATGACACCAATGAATAAGAATGGAACAAGAGTGAAGAAAGAAAGTTAAGACACAAGCTGAATATACAAGCAGACAAACGTGTGAAAACGAGCATTATGAGTGAGAAACAGAAATTATGTAATGGACCTTACGAGTATAACATAAAAGCTATAGAAGGAGGAAATATGAGAAAACTATATTATATGGTTGAGAAATTAGCAGGAAATTATTGGATGAAATATTACTAATCTTAGTTGAATCTCAATAACGTTAAATAATCTATAAGTAAAGTACTACTTATGAGTTGTATGAAATCATCCTGCTAAAAGTTAGTGATTATTTTATGAAACTAAACTCACATCATTATAATGAATTATATTACAATTAGATACTATTGACTAGACTAACACCTTAATAAATTTTTTATTTAGTTGGATAAAACAATTTATTTGTTGCTGACTAATGATAAGTTATAAATGTCTATATTTTTTATGATTACAGCTCACAGATAAACTTAACATGTTCCTTATTTTTAAACCGAATTCGTATTGTAAATAATACTCACTTTGAAAAATAATCTCTGTGTGTGTGAATGAATGAATGAATGAATGCCCTCTAATAGATTACGGCTTAAACGGTATATAGAGCTTCGGCACTCTCGAACGTCTGGAAACTCAAGATTACAAATCAAAAAACAAAAGAAAGCAGGAAAAGTTGTTTTTAAGTGTCAGAAATGTACGGACAAACAGGGGCTGTATTTATAGTTCTTAGTATAGGCTATAACATCATAATACAGTCAATCATACCATATCACGTTGATATTCTGGAAAGTTCTATCGGGTTACGATTAGATCCAATCTGTTCGAATCCTTTATAGCTTCTGAAGGCTTTGTCGCGCTTTCTGGGAGCCGTCCCAATAATAATAATAAATATAAATTCAGTCAGTCAGTCAGCTACAACGTAGGTCAGGTACATATATGCATCGGTCCAAGTTTCCATACCTCATTAACACAACAAGATGAACACTGAATTTATAGTTTGGTCTCTAAGTTAATGATTGATAAGTAATTGGTTAATTAAAATAATTCTTTTACTAACCAAAAGTACTTTACAATCAAATATTAGAAAAAAAGGCTTGTAAAAAGTCAACACTGAGTACCTTAAAGTAACCTTTCACTTACCTACAAGTTTGCACATGTCTAGATCCATAAAGTTATTTTGAATGAATTTGTGGCAGACATATCTCGTTATCAGTTTATGATATAAAATCTATGAAAATTAATTTCCACCAAATCCTATACTGATAACAGTCATGTACTTATTAGCGGCTATCTTCTAAATTCAATTCTTGGAATTCTAATGGGAAGGTGTAACTAGTAGAGTTCAATAATGTGTGGTGTAAGATAGTTATCTAACTCAGCTATTGAGTGAAAGTTGGTCATTATCGTGAGTCAATTAAATTCATTCATTAGATGTGTACACCGTTTGATTCCTGGTTAGCAGTCTAGGGGTTAAAGGTTCGCTCATGAGAATGAATATTCTAGGTTCGAATCCCTATAGTATGATCGTGTATGTGGACACTACTGAGTGATTTCAAACTAAGATGAAACGGCCATCCAGTGCCTCCAGGTTTTTAATAGTGGTTTGGCTGAGACCAATCCTCGATTTAAACTACGAAAATTCCGTAACCTGCGCAAAACCCTATACTGTTATTTTCTTGATAATTCGTGTATATTCCCACATAATTGCTCTCCACTTTTCATATCGATTTGCATGTATATGTGAGCGTGTGTGACTGTGTACATGCTCATCTAGCTTACTCGACTATTTAGCCTCCAAATGGGCTTGTACGACTGAGGGTGGATAGATTCCTTTCTCCCCCTAAAAATGCTATCAAATGGCCACGAGTATATAGCCACTCCCGGGGAAGTCCCACTCACTGCCTTATCACAGCGAAATTGTTGTTTACGAAACTGAAAGAGAATGTCTGGCGCTTAAATCGGGTTGGTGGGTACGGAGGACCCACCTAGGGGAGTTAAAAAATCGTGATTCCAAACCAATGGGCTCCATGATCCCTAGGGAGCAAATGGCGTGCGAATCTGTTGCTGGTCATCGCTTACCATTGGATTGCATCTCCCAACGCTGACCCACTACCTTGTGGATTAGACCTGCAGATCGAAGGCTCGGACAGTTGCCCTCTAAGAAAATCACCCAATTCAGCTTATCCACTCGGGCATTATCCCATCCCATATAGAAAGTTAATGATTTATTGTGTGACGCACATATATTTTGATGCTCCTTTATACCGATGTTTATCTGGCTAAACAAATAAATAGTGTTCATCTGACCTACTCACTTATTCTCTTACGCGCCTAAACAGTAATTCCCCAATCGCTCTACTACTCATTTTCATGTTAAATATTAATTGATGGATTTTCTCTTTTCCTTTTGTGGTTTCTAGAGTGCAATAAACTGATTTTTTTCAACTCAAAGTATTTCTATCATAACAGTCTATTTCATTTCTATCTTCAGTGACATTAGTAGTGCAAAGTTAGGATAAATTCTAACACACTAAACAAAGGATATTGCTTATATATATACCATTATTTCTTGCTAAATTCGTATAACATCATACACGATATAGCCTTTTATCAAACATTTGATCAGATGTCTAATGACATTTATTATTTTTCTCTTATATCATACAATTCCAAGTGAAGACATAAACTTATTCAAATTTAACATTGCATATAACTCATTTTAAATATTAGCAATTTTCACTATGATGTTATGAAGATTGTTGAATTTTATTGGAATCATAAACTGATCTAATTTAGACCACCACTGAAATTTTTGAAATACTTGACAGTCGTTTCGTTCTAGTATGTGTGTCTACAACCCCACACGCCGGGACTCAAACCCAGGAGCTTCGGCCTTGAAATTAAGAATTTTATTGTATTTTACAAACAATCCTAAATTAACAAGCTATAATCCTAAACAATGTAGTTTGCCTTAAACTTGATCTTCGTTT